GAGTTTTGCTCTTATTACCCAGGCTGGAGTGCAGTGGCGTGATCTTGGCTCACTGCAACCTCTGCCTCCTGGGTTCAGGCGATTCTTCTGCCTCAGCCTCCCGAGTAGCTGGGATTACAGGCATCTGCCACCATGCCCGGCTAATTTTTGTATTTTTAGTAGAGACGGGGTTTTGCCATATTGGCCATGCTGGTCTCAAACTCCTGACCTCAGGTGATCTGCCTGCCTTGGCCTCCCAAAGTGTGGGGATTATAGGCATGAGCCACCTACCCGGCCTTTTTAACTTAAAAAAAAATTTTAAATTGAGACACGGGTCTCACCATGTTGCCTAGGCTGGTCTCAAACTCCTGACTTCAAGTGATCCTCCCATCTCAGCCTCCCAAAGTGTTGGGATTACAGGTGTGAGCCACTGCACTTGGTCTGTCTTGTTCTTGGATTGCAATTTCGGTTGCTGAAATCATTTTATCTGATCTAATGACACATTTCTGATTCTCAGCCTAGCATTTCAGGTGGGAGGGCTATTTTGTTGGGAAATGAGGACCTGACCTTTTTTCTTGTCCTGATTGTGGACTTCTCAAGTGTAGTAAAGAAGTAACAGTGACCCTTTTCCTCATTTCTGCAACCTGTCATTGTAAGTCCACCCACCGCCCATGGATATCTATGCCTTTAGCCATAGAAAACCCTTCTAGGTATATTTGCTGTCTTCTCTGTATGTATCTTCCTCGTGTTTGTTTCTACAGATTTGATCACTGTGTTAATGTTCAAACTAGTAGTGATGTGGCAAAGGATTTGCAGAAAACTGGAGTCTTGGAGTCATGTAGAATGTTGGTACAGCCCAATAAAGAACTATTGTTGGGGAATTCATATTGGTTGTAAGTGTCTGAGAAAACAGATACAAACTTCAGGATGATGTCTGAGCTGGCAGTACCTGTTGGCCACCTATAGGTAGATGTGCTGGCCTGCAAGTTTTTTTTTTGTTTTTGCACTCTGCTGGGCAAGTAGCCAGTTCTTTCCAGTGACTGGGATCTGCTGGAGATTTATGGTGATCTGACAAAGTCTGAAAGATTCCAGAAGGTGGCAGAGTGGCATATACTCAGTAGTTCCCTTTCTCTCCACTGGTACAAGTTTTTAGGATCTCTGCAAGTATGCTGCAGCATGTGAAATCTGAAGGCTGGGGAAAGCCAAGGAGGCAGAGAACCGGGAGGTTGCTTTCTTAGATGTCGTTGGGTCTTTTAGGTCTCATGGTTCATTTATCCACCTCTTATTGCCTTAGCTATTAATAATTACCACTAGTCTGCATTTCCTGAGCCTAGAGGCAGCTGTTGGCTATGTGAATAATACCTGCATTTTTGCGAATGCTTGCCAGATGGTTTTTATAATGATCACTTGGCCTTATCTACAGTGTATCCCCTACTCCGTGTTGCTGAAAGACCTGGAAATGCGGAATCTTCGGGAACTAGAAGACCTCATCATTGAGGCTGTCTACACTGACATCATCCAGGGCAAGCTGGACCAGCGAAACCAGCTGCTGGAAGTGGATTTCTGCATTGGCCGTGACATCCGAAAGAAGGATATCAATAATATTGTCAAGACCCTGCATGAATGGTGAGGCTGAAAGGAGGAGGGAGATATCTAGCATGTCTTTTGTGCCTCTCCTTGCAAAAATGTGATTTCCTGGTGTCAGCTGAGGATTTGGGGTGGGCCTGTGGCTACCCGGGAGCTGGGGCTTAGTGAGCCAGAGAGTGGGGCTACATTTGTGATCACAGCTGTGCAACAACAGCAGTCATTTCAGGCCTCCTGGTGCCTTGGTTGTAAAATAGTTCTTGCCTTAAATGCAACTGGGAGCTATTTAAAAGTGGGCTATAAAATGCCCAGGGTTAGCAGGTGGAGTCTGTGTGTCCTAGCTGTGTGAGGCTAGTCCTGCCCTTTCCAAACTCACACTCAGGTTTGACCAAACTCAGGAAGGCTAGTGTTTGTAAAATTCTTTGTTTTTATTATTATTTTTTTCTATCCCTGTTGAAGTTAACATGTTTATAAGATTATTTGGATAAAAGAACTTATGTTCAAAATCAGTAACATATTGGGCTAATGTTTGTGAAACACCATGAGGGACATGGAAGACAAGGAGTAGGTCATTTTAACTTGGAATACAACTCATACAAAGAGTATTTGATAACTATATTCTGGTATATAAAAAGCATTGGGACATTTGCGTTTTCTCTGTTTTAATGGAATTTGATATTTACAAGAGCTGTCACACGTTCTATGAGGATTTACTGTGGAATGATTTAAATTATTTGGGGCTTATAAAGTCAGATGGACTGATTGGAGAAGTTTTAGCTCAGTTTTGAAGGAGTACCAGGGTTAGAGTATACCTGGAGGTGAGGAGAGTGTGTTCCCAGGCATGCACATGGCGTGTTGGGAGCTGTGAAGCAGAGCCAGCGAGCTTCATGCACAGGTTTGGGAGAGAGAGAATCTCTGCTTATCCCCGAGGAAGCATATCCAGAGAGGAGCAGTGCCACTTTGACTCCTTGGGGCCTGATGCCCCCTGAGTTTCCCTCACTTCAGCTACTCTTACACCCCAGGACATGTGTTGCTCACTCCTCACCCCAATTTCTGTCTCAAGTGTAGCCCCAAACACCTCTGTACAACATCTGACACAAGCGGAAGTTTTCAATAGGTTACAAAACTTAGGATAAATAAGAAATAAACTTAGAAATACCCCAACATGAAAATGGTCTGGCACACGAAATCTAGTTTCTGAACCTGCCAAAAAATTGGCTGTCCTATTGTTTTTGACATGGCTGACACAGCTTTTTATGTCCATAGTCTGGTTTCCTGTTTTTAAGCCCCCAAAATGTTTGACATGGAGGTGCCAGACTAACTGGTTACCACAGGATGTTTACTAGTAGAGACTCTTACAACTCATGTTTAGGCGCTGGAGGGAGATTGAAACAAAATTGATAGGCTGAGGGGTACCACATATATGGCAAAATGCTCACACTGTTGGATCTTAAGTGGAGGGAATGGGGATATTCATTGTAGTCTTTCAACTTTTTCATTTTTAAAAAAATTAATAGTGGAGAAGATAAAATAGGAGGGTTATGGCAATTAGGAAGCAACTTAAACTTCTGAGAAAAGGAGGAAACTTCAAAACAGGATGCTTTTAGAAAATCTTTTTTTTCTGTTGAGAATACTGTTGAGAAAAGGACTACTCAGTGCCATCTATAAAATCTATTCTACCTTTTTTTTTTTTTTTTTGAGATGGCGTTTCACTCTGTCACCCAGACCGGAGTGTGGTAGTGGTATGGTCTTGGCTCACTGCAACCTCTGCCTCCCGGGTTCAAGCGATTTTCCCGCCTCAGCCTCCCAAGTAGCTGGGATTACAGGCACCTGCCACCACACCCGGCTGATTTTTGTATTTTTAGTAGAGATGGGGCTTCACTGTGTTGGCCAGGCTGGTCTTGAACTCCTGACCTGGTGATCCACTCCCTTGCCTCCGCTGGCCTCCCAAAGTGCTGGGATTACAGGTGGGAGCCACTACCCCCGGCCTGTCCTACCTTCTTTAATCGTATGTGCTACACAACCATCTTCCATGAGATACACAGTTGCGAATTAAAGCTGTATTCTAAGAAACTAGCCCCAGACTACCATATTTGTCTCCTAATGTCCTGCATTATGTATTTAGAAGTACTTGTCTTTGGGCGCGTGTGAATGGGCAAGAGATGTGGCAGAGGGAGTATTAAAGGAGGTCCCTGTAAGATACTGGGGAGAGCTATTGGGGAGGAAGATTTCGGAGCCTGGAAGAGACTTCCCAGGCCATTCTGCAGCTCAGGGCTGGTGTTCTCCGTTGTAGGTGTGATGGCTGTGAAGCAGTTCTGCTGGGCATCGAGCAGCAAGTTCTGAGAGCCAACCAGTACAAAGAGAACCATAACCGAACTCAGCAGCAGGTAGAAGCAGAGGTAAGGAAGGAAAGGAACGTTTGTTTCTCTCTCCAGGGCATACCTGTTTATTCCTTTGCAGTGTTTATGTTTTTGTTTTGCGAATCTTGGTGTAGATGAAACGAGCAGTCACCAACAAATGGGCCTGGGTTAGGTGCTGGGGTACAGGGATGAGTGTGACACGGCTCCTACTCTTGGTGTTCTCTGTTTTTTCCGATTCCTGGTCAGCATAGGGTGATCGATCAGGCTTTGAGAACAGAGAATGTTGTAGTTTCAGTACACATGTACTTTGCAGCTGTAGAGCAAAAGAAAATGAGTTTGGGGATGGATCTTAAAAATGGATAGAAGGATGGTGATAAGTTACCAGGTAGAGTGGAGGGAGGGGTACAGCTGGGCAGGGGCATGTGGGGCTTCAAGGCCCTGGGAATGTTCTGCTTCTTAAGTTGCATGGTGGGCACCTAGTTTCATTTTACTCTTTTTGTCTGAACTGTACATATATATTATAAATGTGTAAAATGCGTGACATATTTCATATGGAAAGAAGAAAGGGATAAAATTTGGCAGATGAGCTGCAAGTGAAGTTAAAAGGATGTAAGCGTGGTTTTATGACACCTGGCTGTTGAGGAAACTTTTAGCTTCTTGGACAGATATAGGCCCCAGCCTTTGCGTTATGGGCATTTGTGTACGTGTAACCTGACACATGAAGTGACCTCACTTCAGAATTTATTTGGAGCCCTGAAGATCAGAAGCACTGATTTTCCGTAGCATTGGAAGTTCTTTTCTAGGGTGGATGGGGTTTGAAGTATTAATGATGCTTAATGAATTTTGAAAATCAGGTGTCTAAGAGTATGGCAGAGTGGGACCCAGAATTGCAGCTAAGAAGCATAAGAGATGAGTAGATGTGCCTTTCAAAGGGGGATTTGTGAAATTTGGAGTGATTCCCTGTACTGTTATATGCACTTCTTGAAAATAAAACCTGTATCCTATTTGTAAGGCGAGCTTCTGGTCCCATGCCTAACCCATAGTAGGTACTCAGATGTTCAACTGACTATTTCTGGCACACCATGAAAGTGTGTCAGTGGACTGCTGCACTCTGCTTTTCATGAACTTGAGCTAATTTTTTTGAATACACACACACACCACCCTATATACGTATACTCTGTGGATGTTCAATTCATAGACCATGTTTAATCCTACTAGCCAAGGAAGTATGAGGCTGAGTATAGTAACTCACACCTGTAATCCCAACACTTTGAGAGACCGAGGAGGAAGGATTGCTTGAGTCCAGGAGTTCGAGACCAGCCTAGGCAAGGAAGTATGAACTACATTTAACAGCCCAAAGCAAAGACAATTAGGAAAATCAGCCTGCTGTTTTTCTAATAAGCTGTGCAACCACCCTCTTGATGATGGTGGCCTTTTCTCTTGGGATTGAGGTCTGAACAAAGTAGGAAGGGCTGACCACTCTCTCCTTTCTGTTTATTCTTCCCTATAAATCAAACTCTGTACAAAGTGAGGTTGGGAGGCTAACCACACTACCGAATCTTTGGTATCAAGGTCATTAACGAAGGTGAATGATACTAGTTTTAGAATGTGAACTGTTCACGTTTATTTTCATGATAAGTAGCATCCAACAAAAGAAAGGTGGGTGTGCACAGAGCTATTGTAGACACTTGGCTAAAGTTTGAGACACTGACTAAAGTTTGAGGCACACCGTGTAGTTACACAACAGTGTAGACTCTTTAAATTTTGGTTATTTAAACACAGAGGATGGGTGTGTGCACTAGCAGAGCCTGGTGCTGCCAGCAGGTGGCGGTAAGGATTTAAGTTTGAGAAAAAGAAATCTGAGGAAAAGGCCAAGGCCACCTCCACTATCAATTAAAACAATCTGTTGACGTAATAATCTTTTAGAAAATCTGAAGCAGACCAGTATGGTCTGTTCCCTGAGCATGGCCAAAGCTTAGGGCCTTGTCATTTTTCCCATTTAGCAAATGCATGATCTCGCTGCTAAGTGGTGGAGGCTGCTTGCCACCTACTTGAGGCACACGGAAGGTACTCACCAAATAGCTACTGACTTGAAAGAAAAAGAAGTCTACGAAGCACCAGGGTGATTCTGTTGTATTCTGTTTGTATTTATGCTTCTGTTACCCTTGGCCTAACTTTTAAAAGCCGATTTTGTCAACTGATTGGTGATCTTTTCTTTATTTGTCCTTAAATTAGATTGCTTGTTTTCAGAGGGAAAAACGTGAAGTCCCCCTCCTGAATCTTATAACAACAGCTTTCTTCTGGTGAGTTGTAGCTTTAAGAGCCCTCCTTACTGAAGTCAGCCCTATCGCAGACTGTGGAAGAATATTCTTTCCGTTTAGGCTTTTGTGGAAACCCATGTTAGTTCTAGTTCCAGCATACCTGGGGGACCATTATGAGCTGTTTCATTATTTCTGAGAAAGCACTGTGGTGGGGAGGTAATACTTAGAACATTACAAAGCACTTCCACATTTAAATTTGATTTTGGAAAGTATTTTCTTTTTGAGAGACTGTCTCAGTCTATCGCCCAGGCTGGAGTGCTTGGAGTGCAGTGGTGCACACACAGCTCGCCACACCCTCAACCTCCTGGGCTCAAGCAGTCTTTCCGCCTCAGCCTCCCAAGTTGCTAGGACTACAGGTGTATGCTACCACACCTGGCTGATATTTTTCTTTTCTTTTCTTTTCTTTTTTTTTATGGAGAACTGGGTTTTGCTGTGTTGTTCAGGCTGGTCTTGAACGCCTCACCTCAAACTATCCTCCGACCTCTGGCTCCCTCTTTGTTGGGATTACAGGCATGAGCCACCATACCAAACCCACTTTTCTTTTTTTTTTTTTTTTTGAGATGGAGTTTCACTCTTGCCTAGGGTGGAGTGCAGTGGTGTGATCTTGGCTCACTACTGCAACCTCCATCTCCTGGGTTCAAGCAATTCTCGTGCCTCAGCCCCCTGAGTAGCTGGGATTACAGGCACCTGCCACCACGCCCAGCTAATTTTTGTATTTTTAGTAGAGACAGGGTTTCGCCATGTTGGCCAGGTTGTTCTTAACTTCCTGACCTCAAGTGATCCGCCTGCCTCGGCTTCCCAAAGTGCTGGGATTACAGGCCTGAACCACTGCACCCGGCCTCATTTTTCTTTATATTTGGATGTGCCTATGTCTGATGTTATATGGAATGTTAATTTATAACTATTGCTACGTTTACAAAGTAGGCTATATTCCAGTCATGAAGTTTGTAAAGTGTAACTGGACAAAGTAAGCTCTGTTTTCCATTATGTAGAAAATCCCCTAGGAGTTAGTGACAATCTTGAGGTTTATACAGTGCACCAAAAGTATGCTTCCTGGTGCCTCTTGGAGAGGGGTGCTCTCTCCATCACCCAGTTCTCTTTTTCTTTGTAGCACTTTTCCAACTGTGCACTGCATTTCCTCTCATCTGCCTTTCTTTGCGCCTTTCTTTGCGAAACTGAGGGAAGGTTTCCTGTCACAGGAAGCTCTTTCTCCTTTTGCCTAAATATTTAAGGTCTCTGATGGAACTAGGCTGCATTTTTGCTAGCAGTGCAATCCTACTTGAAAATTTCTGAGGTTCATGTTTTGAGGAGCCTGTAAGCCAGGCCACTGGAGGAAGAAAGTCGTTAAGGACTCTACCAAATTTAGGTAAAAGAAGACAAGTCTGTGGGGATGATATTTGTTGTCAGTTGAAGGGTGGCTCTGTGGAAGAGGAATTGGAATTTTTAAGAAAGTCCACAAGGCCAAAATGCGTTTAATTGGTTGACCTACCGGAGTGGCCAATTTGGAGTCCTAGAAGGAGCTGTCTGCGCTTACAACTGCCCAGCTACTGGAAGAAACTAGTTGACCTTTTTTTTTTTTTTTTTTTTTTTTGTGTTTGAGACGGAGTCTCGCTCTGTTGCCCAGGCTGGAGTGCAGTGGCGCAATCTCGGCTCACTGCAAGCTCCACCTCCCAGGTTCACCTGCCTCAGCCTCCTGTGTAGCTGGGACTACAGGCGCCCGCCGCTGCACCCGGCTAATTTTTTGTATTTTTAGTAGAGACGGGGTTTCACCGTGTTAGCCAGGATGGTCTCGATCTCCTGACCTCGTGATCCGCCCATCTCCCAAAGTGCTGGGATTACAGGCGTGAGCCACCGTGCCCGGCCCGAAGCTAGTTGACTTTTAAGATCCCCTTTCGCTAGGAGAGTCTGTCAGTGCTTCAGAAGTCTCATTTGTGAGTTGCGTGTTATAAATGCAGCGGTAAAGCTGACTTGAGCAAAGTGTCTCTGTAATGGATCCCAGTGTGAGGGCCATGGCCCTGCCCCGGCCCAGGCCGGGCCTTTGTGGAGGATAAAGGGCTCATTTCCTAGGCTTAGAGACTTGCCCAAGAAGCCCTCCTTTCCTCTGCAGAATGTTTACATTTTGCCTCAAAGTGGTAACAACTGTAGAGGACTTAGATTTGTCAACAGTCTTATTGGAGGAATGAGGTGTATGCATCTGAAACACGAAGGAGATGCAGTGGTGTGGGAGGCCATCGAAGAGTGAGAGGCACTGCCAGTCAAGTACAGGTTGAAGGGTGGCAGATCAGTGTGGGCTGCAGCAGTCAGGGCAGGTTGTGTGGACCTGGTGCTCAACTCTCCAGGCAGGATCAGAGGGGCGACCTGGGGAGGAGCAGAACCCCCCCGCCACAGGGTGCATGAAAAACAGAAGAGCATAGGGGGAATGACTGCTTCCAAGTGTGGTGTGGGGGACGAGTGTGGCTGAGATGACTTGAGTGCGGGGCATGTGTTGAGGAGTGGGAAGGAAGGTACCTAATCCTGGTATTTCAGAATTGGAGAAAAAACTGAGTTTTTCCCTGAGCCAAGTCTTGTTTCTTTTTATTGCATGTCAGGGTTACTGACACCTAAAAAAGCTGAATGAGAGAGCAGTTTGTACAGGACAAAATTGCTTGAGGAAGTAAATAGGCATCTGAATGACAGGGGAAAGCATCCATGCTTCTGTCTACTTATTTGCTCAAAAGCTTTTGACAGGATCTTGAATCTCAAAGGCTTTTAAACAGAATTGAGTCACCATGAGAGAGGGAGGCTGCGTTATGGTAAGGAGTGGCAGTACAGAAAAGAAGAAGGCTTACCCTTCTGTGACTGCAGAAGGGTGATGTGCAGGCTCCCTCGGGACCAGAGTGAGAATGGTGAGTTCGTGGCTTTGTGAAGGAGAAGCATTGGAAGTGTTGAGCTTTGAAAAGAAAAAGAGTAAAACAGCAAAGCCTTTGGGGGTCAGTTGAACTGGTCAGTTGCTGAGAGGCTGGCAGCGGAGCATTGCCTTTGGTGAATGTGCCACAGGCAGAGTTTGCTCCTTGGCTGGCAGGTCAGGGACTCATCACTCAGCCCAGCCATAGATACTCTGAGTCCAAACCTAGCCCAGATCACCTTGGGCCACTCTAAAGAGAGAAATAAATGCCGGTGTTACTTTCTGATAGACCGGTAATGACTTTATGCTACAAAAACACAGGTGAAGCAGATTGAAAATATAACCATTATTTGGGGATTAATGTCTTTTCCTTACTCATGCAGGGGTTATGAGACTGTCAGTAAATCTAAGACATGTTAAATAATGTAGAAAACTATTTGTAGTATAAGCTGATTGTTTAGTAAAAATTATTATACAAATAACTTGAGGAAATAAGGCTAAATAGTGTTTATCAGCCAAGATGAAATTAGGAATTTTTTTTGGTTTTGTTTTTAAATTTCTAATAAAGCTATTTTGCCAAATGGGAAAGGTAATTATTTGCTTGGAAAGATACCATTTTGGAAATACAGTCCTTGAAACAAAAACTTGTTAGTTTTCTAATGTCTTTCTTGATTAAAATTTTGTCAGCTTTTGGGGAAACCTTAAAACACATTCCCTCGGTAATGTTAAATTGCAGGATCTTCTTTGGAAGGCACAGGTAACTGACATGCAAATAAATAAAGTCAAGTCACGCCCTTTTTAACCTCGTATAATCATCTGGATATTTTGAAAATATATCAAATTGAAGAAGCCTTAGAATGTTATTTTATAAAGCAGTGTTCCCTGAGAAATCAGATTTCTTAATTTTTCCTCCAATGTCATCAAAATATGCCTTAGCTGGGATGACAGTATGTGTCTGTAGTCCCAGCTACTTAGGAGGCTGAGGCAGGCAAATTGGTTGAGCCCAGAAGTTTGAGGCCGGCCTGGGCAACATAGCAAGATCCCATTTCTATTAAAAAAAAAATGCCTTAAAGTAAAACAAATAATATCTCTTTTATCAGAGAAAGAGATAAGCCATTGACTTGCTCCAGATCATTCACTCACCACCTTGCCAGGTGACTCACTGAATAAGATACACCAAAGCAGCAGTGAGCCGCTGGGAGGGCGAGATGCCTCAGATTCTGGGTTCCCAGATGGTGTTTTCTTGTCTGGCAGGACACTGGATAAACCCAGAGATGACTTCCCTCTCTGTTTATTTTATGTATATATTTATTTCTAGGCACTGGGTCTTGCTGTGTCACCCAGGCTGGAGTACAGTGGTGTAATCATAGCTCACTGCAGCCTCAAACTCCTGGATGTAAGTGATCCTCCTGCCTCAGCCTGCTGAATAGTTAGGACTATAAGCGTGTGCCACCACACCAGGCTAATTGTTTTTGTCTTTAATTTCTTTTTGTTGTTGTTGAGATAAGGTCTCACTTGAATGTCACCTAGGCTGGAGTGCAGTGGTGCAGACATGGCTCACTGTGGCCTCTACCTCCTGGGCTTAAGCGATCCTCCTGCCTCAGCCACTTGAGTAGCTGGGACTACAGGTGCATGCCACCATACCTGGCTAATTTTATGTGTGTGTGTGTGTGTGTGTGTATGTGTGTATTTGTGTGTGTATATATATATATATATATATATTTTTTTTAAGGGTCCCACTATGTTGCCCAGGCTGGTCTTGAACACCTGCTCTTGAGCAATCCTCTTTGCTCAGCCTCCCAAAGTGCTAGGAGTATAGGTGTGAGCCACCATGCCCAGCCTGCCCTCTGTAATGACTGTTCCAGCCCACAGTCCTCTGTCACTCTCTCTTCAGAAAGGCTACAGTGTTGATTGAGGTTACAGAAGTTTGGGGCATGGCTCTTCCCCCCGTCTCAAAATAGTGACAACAGAAAATGATTTATGATCTAGTTAAGGTGGATTCTGTAGATGATGGCTCTCCTCCAGGAACCCAATTTTTGTCTCACTCTCATAGCATTGTTTTGTCTTTCCATTTGGGCTGTCTCTTACTCTCAAGCTCATGAGATATTCTGACTGTTCAGAAGTTTTGACCCTGACAGCTCCTTTTCACTGTGTGGAAAACTGGCTGGGTGTGGTGGCTCATGCCTGTAATCCCAGCACTTTGGGAGGCTGAGGTAGGAGGGTCAGTTGACCCTGGGAGTTCGAGAACAGCCTGGACAACATGGTGAAACCTTGTCTCTACAAATAATTTTTTAAAAATTAGCCAGGCATGGTGGCAAGCACCTGTGGTCCAAGCTGCTCAGGAGGCTGAGGTGGGAGGATCACTTAAGCAGGGCAGTTGAGGCTACAGTGAGCTGTGATTGCACCACCATACTCCATCCAGAACAATGGTGTAAGACTCTGTCTCCAAAAAAAAAAAAAAAAAGACTAAAAAAGCTATTACTTATTTGACTGCACAGTTCTTCCCTACCACCACCATCCTCTTCCTGCTGTTTCTTCCTCTCAACGAACTGAGGAGCAAAGGTTTGGATCAGTCACCTTTCAGCAGGCAATATAGCAGTACTGATTCAAATGTAAAATGTAAATCCACTTTGATCTGGAAAGCTCACTTCTAGGAGTATCTTCCATGGATGTTCACAGAAGTATGCAAACGTAAACATAGAGGGCTGTTCAGAGTAGCACTGAAACCCAAACTAGGAACCAATTCAAAAAACCGGAGAACCCTCCCAGTAGAATAGGATTCACATGTCACAGAGGATATCTGTTCTGACGTGGAAAAATGTTCAAGAGCTGCTTAAGTATTTCCAGTCTGTACTTCGTTAAGTGAAAGAAACGTATACTGCACACAGTAGTGTCATAGCATTTTGCTAGTACTTTTATTACATTTTCTTCATTTCTCGCTTAGTTGGCTGAAGTTCATCCTCTACTGGTTTATTCAAGAAGGGTTCATGGAGCTGTATTCTCAAAGTTTTTATGAAACTATTTGTGGTTTTATACATGAATAACAGCGGAGTGCAGAATTCTTGGGTCTCTCTTTCTTTTTCGGAGGACATTTTAATCATGACTTTGTTTCACTGTTGGTATTGTGCCTCTTTGCTAAATGGTCCCCTTCCATTTGTTTCAACCAGGAGAGCATTAGTCCTACTTTTTTGCTTGATTCATTTCCACAGATCTGCTGTGAGTAGCCCAGGCTTGTTTCTCCTCATCTGGATTTCTGAAGAGAATTTCAGGTTTTCTTGTAGAGGATTTTAGCTTCCTGTCTGAAGTGAAGACGTAGTGAGAACAAGTTTTGGTGAGCACATACAGGCTGAGCACTCCAATTCTCTGTCTCCCCACCAGGTTACCAACATCAAGAAGACACTCAAAGCCACCGCATCCTCCTCGGCTCAGGAGATGGAGCAGCAGCTGGCTGAACGGGAGTGTCCGCCTCACGCTGAGCAGAGGCAGCCCACCAAGAAGATGTCCAAAGTGAAAGGTCTGGTCTCCAGCCGCCACTAGGGCCGGCTGGGGCAGCTGGCACTCACCAGGCCTGGGTTAGATGGGGAGGGGACACCAAGGGCCCATTTCCTCCCCTCTCTACCTACAGTGAGTTCCAGACCTGCCCGTCCCCTCACCAGCGCCTCCCCACCCTGTGGTACTGTTCCAGAAAAACTGTTAACTCCCCCTCACCCACTCCCTCCTTCCCCAGTTGTTCCCTTCAGACTCAGGGGCTCCACCGATGCCATCCCAACAGGGTCAGACACTGCCCAGCTTCCCTCCAGGAGGTTCTTGTCTCTGTGTAAGGGCTTGTGTCCCTCCCAGTTTTTCTTTTGCTCCATGTCATTTTGTCAGGCTGGTTATAAGCTGGAGGCAGCTTTAACCAGCCCCCAGGGATGATTGTGAAGGAGGCCCCTCCCCTTGTGAGGAGGGGGTGCTCCTCTCCAGCCCCTCGTACCACAGTCCTCATGATGGTGCAGCGATCTCTAGCCAGGCGTCAAGATGCGCTGCTTTCCCTCTCTTGCCTCATCCCTTGTTGGCAGCTCCAGTTCAGGCCGTGGAGGGACGTGATGCTGGGCTATGTTTACTAAACCCACGGGTTTTCAGCCTCTTAAGCCCAGCTCCGGTCTCCAATTAGTTGGGAGCGCTGGGTTGACTAACCTCTGGTATCTGAGCACAGACAGAGGGTGCTGTGGGTCTGCTGGGTGGCAGAAATGGTTCCTTCCAGCGTGGCGTTCTCTTCTGGCCGCTCCTCCTGCTGCCTCTGACTACTCAGCCTTGTTTTCGGTGTGTAGGCCCCAGCTGCCCACTGGAACTGCCGGCTAATGCTTGCTCTCCCGAGATCTTTAACTCCTCCTGGCTGCACCTGGGTAGGGATGGTGGCACCGATGCCCCTCTGTCTGCTGAAGGACCTGTTGCTGCTTCTGTCTTTTCACCCCTCCTTGGCTGATGACCCAGAGCCCTCTGATGATGGCATTCTCCTGGCAAGAGAAAAGGACTTAACTAGACTTCTGAACTTGAACAGTTTCAGGTTATATTTTAATTTTTTTTTTGTACAGGTTCTGATTCTAATACATTTCAACATGGTTTTGTCCCTCCTCGTGTCAATATTTGTTATAGACTAATCGCCGGGGATTTTTCACATGGTTGGAGGGTGGTGCGTGCGTGTGTGTGTGTGTGTGTGTGTGTGTAAGGGGAGGTGGAGATCCTGGACTGATATTAAAGTTCATTGAGGAAAAAGCACATTTTACAACAAACAAATAAAGTGTAGATTTAATGTATGTGACTGGGGTTTGGGGTGCATAAGATCTTGAAGGGCTGGGATTAGGGTGGTTCAGGAAAATGTGATACTGTTTCCCCATGTTTAGCCATGGTCAAACAATGGATTTCTCCTTTTTCTAAAATGTCCAGCAACTGCCTACTGTTGATCAAATGTTGAAGTATTCTTGTTTCCTTTTTAAGCCAATCCATGTGCCCATATAACATTATGCCCAAGTGGAGAGTTCACTTTAATTTCCAAAATATGTTTCATGAAACCCCTTGTCAGATACTCTGTGGAAAAGGGGTTCTGTTATGAAATAAATGTGGCACTTCCTGCGTCCCATGTCTTCATTGGAAATTCATTACTCAGGTGTCCAAGCATTCCTTGGTGAGGAAGCCTGTACCCATACCAATTTCACCACCAAATCCTTTTGGGTGATATCTAGGTGGAACAAATCTTAGGAAAATTTTGGGGAAAGTATATTTCCTAAAAAGCCTAAGAGCACTGGGCGCAGTGACTCATGCCCATAATCCCAGCACTTTGGGAGGCTGAGGTGGGAGGATCGTTTGAGCCCGAGAATTTGTGGCCAGCCCACACAACATAGTGAGATCCCGTCTCTGCTACAGATAAAAACCCTAAGAGAAAGATAAAAACCCTAAGAGAAGCGAAACACCTTTCAACCTTACAGGTTTTCCCAGCTATTCTTTCTAGACTTCAAACAGGCACAGTCACTCTCAGCAAGTTTTCTTTCATCCTTGTTTTTCCCACTGGCAAGTAGACTAGGAGACATGGTTTGACTTGTATGAAGTCTGTGGCCATTCCTTATATGATTGCCCCAAGGCCCTAAGGGTCCTCTCCATGATTCAGCTTCCTTAAAAATAATGATGGCAACAATAGTAACTTGTCTCTAAAGTGCTTTACAAAGTGTGTTTGCATACAATAAATCATTCAGTCCCTTCCACCCAAACAGTCTTCTAAGGTGGGTAAGGGCAACCATCCTCGCTTTGCATATGAGAAGACAGTCCCAAAGATTTGAAGTGTCCTGGTGGTAAGTGGCAAAATGAGAACTCTTAGATCTCGTGACTTGCACATCCTGTCATCTGCTCTGTTACATTCTCATCTACAGTCTGCTATCCACACTTGACCCTTGCTACCCCTCTACCTGCTGCTGTTCCTCTGAGAGTTCATCTTGCCCTTATTTTGAGGGAGGGAGGGGCAAGACCAGTGTTAGTGTTGATTTTGTTCTCAAGGACCCTGGCAGGGAAGCAGCAGTGTTCCCATTGTAGAGGCCAGAAAAGCTGCACAGTGACACAGCCAGGATCAGTCATGGAGCCGTGACAGGCCAGAGCCAGGGCTCCCAGCCACTAAGGAGGGGTGGCAGAGGGTTGTTTGGCCAGGTCTGGGTGGTCTGAAGGCTTGGTGACCAGGGACAACATAATCATATGCAGGACCAATGCCATCACTGCCCTGAGAATGTTCTTCCCCCGGAAGTCTGCCTCCAGTAGCACAGGCACCTGCTTCTTGGATGGTGGTGACATCTGAGTACTTGGACTTCATCAGCTGCCCCTAGGAGGTGAGGTAGCAGTAGGTGAGGACAATACCCCTTTCAGCTTCAGCAAGTGAAAAGTGTGGTTCTCGATGAAGTTGAGCTGGTGTGTGTGCCAGGTCTCCTTCTACAGTGGGTACACGTCATACAGGATCCCATCAAAGCGACCACCTAGCAGGGTGAGTGCCACCTCCTTCCACAGGACTTTCAAGGGGATGACCTTGTGTGTCTGCTGCTGGGCCCAGTCTTGGAGCCACTGGAAGATGCTGTCATTGTACTCCATGATCCAGTGTTCCTGGTTGGAGATCTCCTGCACCTTCCATATTCTTGTGGCCATGCCGAAGCCAACATCTAGGACTCGGCCCCCTTTGGAGGTGGTGAAGGCAGTGATGGAGGTTGTAGTGGGGGCGCTCTTGCTGCAGATAGAGCCCCAACTTGGAACCTGACGTGCCAGGGCCCAGTCCCTGCAGCCACCTCGCTTTTCACACACCTCATTTCTACTTGCCAAACCTACCCAGCCACTTAATAAGGAAGCAGAGAGTATAGGATAGAGACCTCCAGAAATTGTGGGAATAGTGGCCCAGCCAGATGTTCATTGCTCCGCTGGGACTCTGGTGGGAGGCTTGGCCTTCAAGCTCTGCAGTTTCCTGTCTGGCATCCTGGCAGCTGGGCTCAGGTCTAAAATGTGCAGAAGTGTTTTATACATAACTAGAACATTCCAAAGAGATGTCCTCATCAACAGTGAGACATCTTAGGGAAGGAGACACCACAGTATTAAAGAGAATTACCTCGATGGCAGTGCCTGTGGGCGTGCTTGAGCCACATTCTTTACCTCTGAGCTTTCTGCCTGCTCAAACCCTTTTTGCTCTTTCTGTTCAGATGAGAGGCGTTATGGTTCCTATTTGGGTAACATTAGGGAGGTGGTCAAAGCCCCCAGGACAGCCCGTTCCTGTGGTCCTAATCCAAGATGGTCATCATTGATAGTAAGATTCTCTTCTCCCCACTTCAGTCACAGGAAATGGGGTGGCGACCAAACAAGCTCAAGTGATAAACTGCTGGTGATATGTGTACATGTTTGTTGTTTTCTCCACCTCTGAGGTGCTGGGTTGCCTGAAACGAAAGTGTTTTGGTTTGTGTACTAAAGTTGTTTTTCTGGCAGATTGAGACTTCACTTTTTTAAAAATGTGGCAATTGGTTGACTTTTGGTGGTCCCGAAGGACCTATCACACTACCCGTGGTATCTGAGTTTCAAGTCTAGCATGGCTTGAGTAGTCTGTGATTGTACCTGTTTCTTCCTGGATTCTGCACATAGTCAGGAGCATCTCACTGCTTCATTCCATGTTTCTTGCAGTTATGCTTGGGATATGCAGATGGAAATGCATATTTTATTGTAAATTTCATTTTATATCTAGCTTATATTACCCTTAGAGCATTCAGTGGGTCTTTTAAACTTATGTCTGTTAAGTAGATTGTCTGTGACTTGTCGGGCAGTAAAGGTAGATGCTAAGCAAGTATTTATTATCAAAAGGAAGTGTTGAGTCAGTATTAAGGGTGAGAACTGCTCTTCGTGGTTAAGGATGAAACCAACAAGGAAAGAAGTGATGGGAATGCAGAGACAGGCGGCAGCCCAGCTCTTCTTGGGGTTGTTTATGCCATTCTTGCATTGGTCTGCGACTTTTCCTCAGCAGACACCGCTGTGGGCTGCTCTAATGACTTCTCTTTCCTCCTCGAACAACTTCTGGAGAAGTTTCACAGCTGCGGAGTGGTGCCGCTACACATTCATCATCTAACCTGACCTGGGTCCTCAGCTGTAGGGCCATCTGTCTCGAGTCAGCTGTCACTGTTAAAAGTTTCATCGTTTTCTCTGGTTTGACTTGCTGAAAAAAAAAAAACAAAACGTAACAAAAGCATTTAAAAAGTTTCACTATTTTCTTAAAATAGTTTGCCGTATCATACCCTCTCATGTTCACTGGATGACTATCCTTTCTTCCTGGTGAAAGCAGAAACCCTCAGTTTGTCATCTTCCACCTACAGACTCATCTGCATCTGTCCTTACCTCCTTGGGGAGAAAAAGACGTCTCTCCTTCCATGTGAGTATCAGTGATTCCCCTGTGCCATTTCGTTTTCTGTTTTTCAGTCTACCCTTTTCTCCCCAAAGTCTGCCTTTTCTCCCCAAAGTTTTCACTTATGTGTCTTTAGCCTCTCCTCTAATGGATGTAAGTGATGAATAATTTCACACTTAAAGGGACCCTCCTTGAACCTCATGTCCCTTTCCAGCCACTGCCTTTTTCATCTTTAATGACCATGCTTCTTGAGAATTGTCTACCCTTTCTGTCCCTCTCTTCTCCTTCACTGACATGTGACGTCTACTGCTACCCAGCCGCTGATCATTTTCTTGTCAAGGGGACCATTAATCTCCGACTTGCTATCCTTAGTTTTTTTTTTTTTTTTTTTTTTTTGAGACGGAGTCCTCGCTTGCCGGCCCGGGCCTGGAAGTGCAGTGGGCCAGATCTCAGCTCACTGCAGCTCGCCTACGCAGTTTACGCCATTCTCTCTGCCTCAGCCTTCCCGATTTGGTGGGGGGGGGCTGGGACTAACAAGGCGCCCGCCATACTCGCCCGGCTAGTTTTTTTGTATTTTTAGTAAGACCGGAGTTTCACCCGTATTAGCCACGGATGGGAATCCTCGATCTCCTGACCGTGATCTGCCCGTCTCGGCCTCCCAAAGTGCTGGATTACAGGCTTGAGCCGACCCCACCGCGCCGGCCTATACTCCTTAGTTTTTATCCTGGCCTTGATCCCTTTGGTTACACTTGGCACTGTTGGGCCCACTTCTTTAAGTGTTTCTGTTTTCATGGCTCCAGTCTCTTCCGCGATGTTTTCCTGTCCTTTCCTTGGCCTATTTTAAAAATTTCCTTCAGGGCATCGCTTCCTTTGGAGTCCAGCAGTGTTTCTACGGTTCCGTTGTGACCTTCTCATTTTTACTTTTATACCATCTCCCCAGAAGTTTTATATGATGTCAACTGCCATGGTTCAACCCCCTTCATTTATAATGCCCCAAATCTCTACCTTCTGGCTTATCTGCCAACATGAAATAGTCATGGCAGCCACCTGCGACATTTTCTGGCTTGCAAATCTCCCAGGTTCCCACTCCTGTAGTCAGTAATCACGGTGCCCACCATTCACCAAGTATATAGTTGTTGCTAGTCTACCCATAGACAAGATGCTCCACAGATCTAGCCAAAGCAACCAACAAATTTCTTTTCTCATCAGTTCTGAGGTGAAGTCCTACAGATCACAGTGTCAGGAGGTTTGATTTCTTCCTGAGGCCGTTCTTCCTTGGCTCGCAGATGGCTGTCGTTGGCTGTTCCCAATGGCTCTTTTCTCTCTCTCTCTTCTCTCTTCTTTTTTTTTTTTGGTTGAGCGGGATCTTGCTCTTCACCCAGGCTGGAGTGCAGGGCACAAATGACAGCTCACTGCCCCACTCAAACTCCTGGCGCTCAAGCGAGTTCCTTCCGCTCAGCCTCTCAAGTAGCGGGACTACAGGTGCAATGCCATCATGCCTTGGCTAAATTTTCGTATTTTTTGGTAGAGGATGCGGGTTTCAACCATGTTGCGCCAGGCTGTTTGGAAACTCCTGAGCTCAAGCCAATCTGCCCCTGCTTGCCTCCCAAAGTGCTGGGATTATAGGCATGAGCCACTGCACCAGGCCAGGCCTCTTCACTCTGCACACATCCGTCTGGTGTCTCTTCAGCTTATAAGGACATTGGTCCTATTGGATTAGGGCCCCA